TGTTTACTTGGTTTGATTTGTATTAGAGTACAGTTATCACTCGCATTTCCACCCTTCTGTTGAAGGTCTGTGCGGCGTCCAGATGAGAATCGCATGCTGGGTAACGGCGAATTGACTAGAGCCCGGCAAGTCAGCCGTAGCTTGAATCGTACGTATGTAAGTGATGATCTTGAATTACTTAACTTCAGTTTGCAGACTTTCACCGAAAGTGCACGGCGGAGAGTAGAAAGGAAGCTCAAGTCATTTCTCAGCTAAGACAAAGTGCTGCATAACGCATAAGAGGTGAGGCCTTGAGGAATCCGGTGTGCTATGTACATAAAATTCGAATGTAGCGGGTTAACGAAACGCAGTAACCGGTTTAGCTTATGCGTAGGAGACCAAGAAGGACGAGCATAACGTTCGTGGATGAGCTGGGTAGTGAGAGCAACATCAAGTATTCGAGTCTGCAGCTCCGATCCGCATGGCAGACGAAACTAGAGTTACAAAGTTTAAACCACAGGGTACACAGGGCCCTCCCCGCTTTCACAGAAAAGGGGAGGAAAAAATCGGATCAACCCATAGTGGACACACTGGGAATTGAACCCAGCACCTTCCGCATTTCACAAACTACGTGCTAAGCGGATGTGATAACCAACTACACCATGTGCCCCTGCTTAAATGGGGCATTATATCCCAATATATAATACTTCATTTAGCTCAGTTGAAGAAGAGTGCACATGTACTAGTGTTACATCAGAAAGGTTGGTGTAAATTACATGTAAGTAAATAAGTAGGTAAATTACTGTAAATTACATCATTTACAGTGAGGCCCGGACAGGAGGTGTAAGAAAGTGTCAAAAACTCCCCAAGGGCCCAGAGTCTGCTGTGCAGCAGAGAAAACACACTCAGGCAGAGAAAGGCATATGCATGCATTCTACACCTACAGTGAATGAAAATTCTGCTGCTTGCACTCTGCCCACACCATGTCTGACCTCTCATGAATAGTATCAGATAGAATGCCTGCCATGTATGCCACTGTGTACAGCAGCTTCAGCTATGGCTATTTGCTCCACTTCCAGTGGGTTAGAAAGTAAACAGAAATGCATGCTCTTACTTCTCCCTGACAGATCCATTGTTATTAAATACCAACTGCCTGCTTCTAACTTTTATTATCTGTAACTCTCTAGTGACAGCTCTTCATGGTGTAGCTGGGTCATAGTGGGACCAAAGCTTCTGTTCAATTATTTTTGGTAGTTACAAGCATCCCTTCATGGTACTCCACTACTGGATGCTTGCACATGAGGCGCACGATACTTAGATCTATGATGCATGACCTTTGACAAGCTCTCCTCAGTTTTTGGTACCTTGAATACCAGCTTCATTACTACAGCTCAGGTTGCCTTGGATAACTTTGCGGCAGTAGTATGGCAGTCACAGTCTCACTGGTGGTGGTAGCACTTCATCAGTAGACCATCTCTCAAGGTTTCTCAGCAAACAGATGGCTGGATGACATTAACATTGACCAGATGCTGCTTATTCTCGAGGTGAAGATTGCAGCATTGGATCAGCAGCATCATGCACTGGACACTGATGAAGAAGCTTCTAGGAATTAATTTGACAGCACACCCATCCCAGAAAGAGCACCAAAACTATGCGTTGTTGGCAGTACCCTTGAAAATGGCAAGGCCTCTTATCTGGGAGTGTCTTATCTTTCTAACTTTTTCTTACTGTTATTGACCATAATTTACTGTAATTTATAGTGGAGCAAATGGACTGTAGCCTCCGGTAAATAATGTAAATTACAGGGCTTATTTACTTATAGTAGGCCCTGAACTTTTTTATACATTACTTATATTTCCGGGGACTTTCTGATGCAACATCAATACATACGTTGGGCTGGCAATGTCTTCTCCCACCTACTGCCTTTATTGTCGATTTCCTCTGCCATCATTAATGTCACTACTCATAGCATGCAGAGACTGCTTTAAGACATGTGTAAGCCTCCTGCAGGGGCAGCTGGCATCAGCGGCAGTAGCAAACATTGGTTTATCCTATCTCAAGGCTTCCGGACACAGAACTAGTTCAGTTGGCTTTGCTGCACAATATTGATACACACAGTACTCTAGCGGCCCATCCAGCTGAGTATGGTACGCTTCTAGCTGTCACATTACTTTCACCAAAACAGACTCTCCTGTCAATCTAGAATGAGGACGAGCCACTGACCAGTCTAGAAGGCCTGCAAGGCCTTAAGGATTCTGAGATTTCAGACCAGGAATGGAAGATCCATACAGGTATGTTTGCTCATTTTTGGCTTGCAAGGCACGTGGTATAAACAATGACCTAATACTATCTCACAGCTATGCCGTGTGCGCAGGTTGCACAATCTATACTCTGTAGCAGATGCTCCCAGACTTCTTTACGACAGGACTCATGTCAAGCATAGCTGCTCTCAAATACAATGCTACCTCGCAATGCTACTCTTGCTGATCAGGACTTTTGTGTGCCTGCAGCTCTCTGTCATGCTGGACCTGTCGAAAATATTGATATATTGGATGGGAAGTTGCAGCTTTGTCTTCTTGTGCATTGAGCAAGCGCCTCTGCAGGCCATGCCACTCTACACCATGGAGTGAGCCAAGCAGTCAGTCTGATGTTGGTGAAGCATGTATAGAATCAACCTTAGATCAAGCCGTGCTTCCACACCAATGAGACAACAATTCAATCTCACATCTCATTCCTTCATTTTGCCTTCCTCTAGCACCATTCCATTGTCTGCCCCAGGTGTCTGTTCGATTTCAAGGTTCTCAGGTGGGTCCATTGCCTAGCGCAGGTGCTTGCATGTGACACATGACTTTTCTCAAGTCGTTTGGCATTGGCCCTAAACTGATGGTGCAATCACTCATAAGCCAGTGTCGCTTTCTTGTCTCTTATCTCTCACTCTTTCCCCTCTTCCTCATTCCTTCTTGCAGCAAGACCTATGGCATTGCAGCTAACACAAGTGTACCAGTTGGCAATGGGTAGTTGAGAGCTAGAAGGCTCATTTTCTGGTATGTAACTTCTTGTCAACTCTACTAGTACTATGTCAGGCTAATCGTGTACGTGGCATGTCTCAGATCTTACTTACAGGTGATCAAGAGGCTGTAGATAAGGGGCTTCAGCTATGGCAGATGAACATGTGCTGGTAAGCTTTTTATTACTTATGCCTCCATATAGAGTGTTGACTATGAGAACATGCCAAACTTTTCTGCAGCTTGAATGACAAGTTTCAGGCTGGTGGAAGCAACGCATTGGCAATATATGGAAAGATGAAGAAGCCTAATGCAGTACCTAGTCCATTAGTTGATATTTGGTGATGTACACTCTGAGAGCCCAAATATATTCTGATTGTCATTTTTAATGTAATATATTCTGTGTGAGCTACTATATATGGTATATAGTCTGTGCTCCAGCATGTGCTCATGGGCTGGTTCTGTTGTGAGTATAGCCCTGCCCTATATTTTTCTCTGTATTTCTACAATTCCTCTCTGGTTTGTACGATGTCTAGAAAGTTGTCAGTGCCCAAACCCTCATGTTAGCACCAGTTTACTTTCACACCTCCATAACACATCAGCACATCAACACGCCTGACCTGCTCACATAACACCGCCATCAAGGAGGCTATTTGCACAGCTCTCCAGCATTTTCCAGTGGAGTCCGATCAGCATCAGACATCTGACCTCCACTGGTCTCACACAGCATCAAAGCTGACTCCCATCCTTTAGAGTTTGATCAGCATTGAACATTCAAACCTTGTTGGCCTGGCACATGTCATACACTATGCCCTATTAGCTGCAGACTTTCACACTGTCTCAGTGGATAGCTGCCTCAGTAATACAGTCCTACAATTGCCATCAGGAATCTGATCAACAAGGAACACTCAACCCTAACTACATCAGACATTCTGAATCAGCAGCCACATCATTAGCTCACTACCACAAACATGCTGATGATCTAGACTCTGTCATCCTAGCAGCAGCCTAGATGTGTTATCATGCATGACTCTCTGGGCCTACACCTCACTCTTTGATCAACATCGAGTATCCACTCTAGTGACAGCCCAGAAGCATAGTCGCTTAACTACTAAGCCACCTGTACAAACTATGGCTAAACACACATCAAGAGTCTATGACAGATGAGATACTGCATTTGCTAGAAACTATATAATGTCAGGATATGCCATTACTTCAGATAGTATTTAGTGTACATTACCTGTATGTAGCGTAGCTTGTGTGTATGTATGTGTGAGCCACGTTGCAACAATGGACTAAGCACTGGTTTGTGTTGCCGAGGCTGCCATTGTATATCACGACCCAACCTACCTCTGATGTGTGGTGTGTCTAGTGCCTCACCTACATCTAATATGCCAGTTTGCCTGCCTCACCCACTTCAGAGATATCTAGCCTCAACATACTCTGTGTATTCATACTGTATAATGTACTAACATCTGTGGCCAATAGAGAGTTATCCTGCCATAGGGTGGCTCCCACCAAGGTTGAACTCACTTGACCACCAAGCCCTTCAATATGCCAAAGGTTCACAAAGTGAAGTTATCAGGTTGGCCACCTTAATGCAGCTTGCAGTTTCCAGATGAAGAGAGCAAGAAACAGTACCACCAAGAGGTGCTAGGCTTGCCCGGTCCCATTGATTGCTAGATTGCACACGTCATGGACAAGTTTGACATGATTTGGGCAAAGGGTAAGACCTTCGTACTCAGGTTCACTTTCATTGTACTGGAACTGGTGCAGCTAGAGGGAGGTGTTATGGGCCACTTGCAGAACTTGTAGTGGACTGGGTGGGTGGCTGGGTCATCTGCAAATGTGAGTATCTGTATCATGTGTGGATTTGTTTATCAAAGTGAGTTGATATGCTTACAGATGACTGTGTCCCTGCCAGCATGGTTCTGACTTGGTCACGCTGCTCAGACATCAGCATGCTGGAGTATTCCACATTGAAGTCAAAAGGCTGTGAGTCACTGGAAGTACTCATGCTAGTGACAGCTGAGGAGAAGGTGGAGGATAGACATCTGTGAGTGTACACTGTTCACTCTTTTGAATGACAAAGGCTGATTTATTGAAGTGAAACTACCAGGATATTCTCTGTAGCTGCATTGTGTAACACAAAGAAAGCTAAACATGCAGTCAATGACCAGTGGCTGATGCAGCAGTACCATGCCATTGTGGTGTGGTTCTTTGCCTCCACTTATGAGCGCCATCTTCTCTGCCAATGCGACCTCTAGTGAGTTACAGCCTTTTATACTCATATCAGCCTAGTTTGACCACATTGTATACAGGGTGTCAGCACACAATACTGGTACTCCAACTAATGAATAGTAGGTGGAGGCGGCAGGTCAAAAAGGTATAGATCATGAGCAGTGCAACACCCGCCATGATGATAAGGTTGTGCTCGAATCAGTGCCCTGGTGGAATTAAGGGGTACTCTAAATTTGTATATTGGTCCAAATGATAAATGTATTTGGAGCATATCTAGTACAAATATTATACTATAATTTGCAAAACTATTGAAGCACTCTTATCCAGATCAAGTGTATGTTGGGCCACAATTTGTCCTGTATTTGAGGTATGATGACCGCACACTGCCAGGGTAGCTGCAGTCATCCTATGCATAATGTGAGCACTGTCTAGTCCAATATATTGCACATACTAACTCTTTATATTTGAACACCCAACATACACTACATCTGCATTGAATCTTTGCTGGTATCTCAAGTGTGATATGTTTCAGCAGACGCAGTGAGATGTCCACCACAGTACAGGCTCAGAACTCTAATTTAGGCAACACTTCGGGTTCAGCTAGCAATAGCCAGACTTTGACTCACCAGCCTAAATCCAAACCTAACCTTGCACCACTGTGCTGCCAAACACCTATGTCACAGATATAGCACAGCACCTTAGGAACACTTTCAAAAAATACAGGGCAGGGCTATGCCCACAACAGGTCCCAGGCTCAGGTTGATGCAACTAACACCCAGCAGCACTATTCTGATCATGAGCCAAAGCTTGTTCCAGGCTTGCTCGCAAACACTGATTCAAAATTGGCTGAACTATTCTGCTGGGACCCTGGAACCAGATCAATTTGTGATATCTGATGCATGTCTTATCAAAACCTTGTCATGAGGTTGGTTTGATCTCACCGCCACCCATTGGTGTAGCATCAACTTTTGTGCCCTCCTTTTTGGGCTCAAACCAGCATGGAAGGTATTTGTGTTAAGCAGATGGGCTTGCACAGTTTTATCAGAAGCTATTCCAGCATGATCAAACAAATATCTGTACTAACTGTTTGATTACTTTTTTTTATTGTTTATAAATGTTTAGAACTGTTTACTGTGTGTTTACAAAAAAAATTACACATAAACTAAACAGTTAGAGCCTTACATCAAATAAACAAACAAAACCGAGGGAGAGAAGAAACAAAAAGTCAGCTTCATTAATGGACACACTGGGAATTGAACCCAGCACCTTCCGCATTTCACAAACTATGTGCTAAGCGGATGTGATAACCAACTACACCATGTGCCCTTAAATACATGCTGCGCTGTGGCACATTATGATATCCTATTCAACGTAGACTTGACCAACGAAGAACGCACGACGTCAGGGTATTGTGTCGGGCTAGCAATGTCTTCTTCCACACTCTGCTGTCTCCGTCGTTTATCCTCACTATCATCGCCGATATCGATACTAACAACATGTAGAGGCTACTCCAGAAAATGTGTGAACCTCCTGCCAAGGCGACTGGTGTCGATGGCAGCAGCGAACGTCGGTCTGTCCGTCTCAGGGCCCCCGGATGCGGAACGAATGTACCCGTCTTTACCACACAATATTCGCGCGGATCGTTGCTCAATGGCCCACCACCCAGCTGAATATGGTACCCTTCTAGTTGCTGCTCTGCTTTCGCCCAGACAGACTCTCCTATCGACCTCAGACGAAAGCGAGCCACCGTTCAGTCCGGAAGACCCGCAGGGCCATAAGGATTCTGAGATTTCGGATCAGGAATGGGAAATTCGCACAGGTGTGTTTGCGTATTCGCGTAGTGCGGGGTGTATCATATAAACGACGGCCTGATACTACCTCTCAGTCGTGCCGTGTGCGCAGGTCGCGCCACCTACATCCTGCAGCAGACGCTCCCAGACTTCTTCGCGACTGGACTCGTGTCGAGCACGGACGTGCGCCCCGACCCACCAGCTGCTGTTAGTCCACCGAAAAGACGCATGTGGACATTCCCTGGCGCGATATGGCTCGGCCTCAGACCCAAGCCTAGTGTGAATACGAGTACGAGCGTCAGGGCAAAAACGAAGGATGGAGGCGCCGATGGCGAGAGCATCTACGGCCCACGCATTAAGCTGACATACACCCCACCGACACCGCTACCCGCGCCGTTCCCGAAGACTCTCGCGTTCGAAGGCCTACATCTGTATATTGCTAGCAGCATCTTTGTGCGACACACTTTAAACGCGCTCTACATGGACCTCGCGGTCACGCTCCGCCGTGTACGTGTCTATGGAAGCCAGGAGTCGGGTAGGTACCTGATCTTGCGTGAAGCGTCCACTAACACATACTCCTTACAGGGTCACTTCCTCCTGGTGTCCCGCCCATAGCTCGTCCGAAGAGAGAGGGTAGAAGAGCAAGAGACAAGAGATTATCAATTGGCCTCACTG